CGCCTGTGGGCGCTGCCCCAGCGTCTGCCCTGGCCCTGGAGCTGCCCCGCCGCCTGGGCTCGCCGCCTTCCCACGAGACCTTGGGGATGACACCGAGGGGCCCCGGCGCACCGACTGCCCAGTCCCTCCCGCCCTGTGGCTGCGAGCGCGCAGCTGGTGGGCCCGAGGTGACCCAGGCTGCGGCCTCGGGTGCCAGTGCAGGGGCCGGAGCAACAGTGGCCGCGGGAATGTTGACCCGCAGGTCCGGCACCGGCCACCCCTCAGCGGCGGGTCTCTCAGACTGGTTTTCACGCTGTGGAGGGCAGAGCGCACAGAAAGCTGAGGCCAGTGTGCAGCCGGCAGCCTCTGCTGTCCAGCCGGGGTGTCCGCCTCGCCTGGGGCTGGAGGCTCCGTCCACCTGGCTGTGGGCAGGCTGCTGCTTCCCGCGCGGGGGGCGCCTCGCGCCCTCGGTCTGCCCTCGCCGCTGTCTTGACTGTTACGCTGCTGGGGTCACTGTCGGGGCAGCCCGGTGGGTCCGGACGGCACTGCGCGGCGGGGACATGGTGTCGGACACTTGTCCGAGCCAAGCCCACCCTCGCAAGCCGCGGGCAGGAACTGGGAGCTCCGTGGACTCGAGGCGGCGAGGGCCAGGCAGTGGGCTCGGCCCACGGGAACCCTGTGCTGGGCGGCCGCCGGCTAGGGCCTTGGGTGCCCAGAAAGCCTCTCCCTTTGCCCAGGGGGCCCAGAGCCGCGTGTGCTGCACCCAGCACGGACCCGGGGTGCTGAGCCCCACCTGAGCCCGGCCCGAGCCGCCCCGAGCCGCCTGCGTTGCTTCTGCCGCTTTTAAGACCCCGCCTGGGGTTGCCCTGTTCCGGGAGTCGGCACCCCATCTTCAGGCAAAGGGGAGGGTCTTCCGCCCACGGGGGCCTCTCCTCACGCCCCGCAGCGCTCTGCGCGCCCGCTGGCTGGCCGGCGCGGCTCCTGGCGTCGGGCGCGGGGGGAGGGGGCGGCCTCCTGGCTCTCCCGGGGCGCTGACCGTGCCCGGGGCCCCAGCCCCGCGGTCCTCTGAGCCCCGCAGCCCCCGCGGGCTCCGCCACAGGCGCCCTCACCCGGGGCGGGGGCTCGCAGGGTGGAGGGGCGGACACGTTCCGGCCAGGCGCGCGTCTGGCCACGGCCTGCACAGGGCCCGGTGTGCCCCCGAGGGTGTGCCCACTCGGGCCGCTTCAGGCACGTAGTGACGACCGTGACTCGCGTGGCGCCGCCCCTTCCCGCTCAGCCACGCCCGAGGGCTCCGGGCAGGGCCCCGTGCGCCGTGGCCAGGCGTTTCCAGCGGGGCCGGTCAGGCTGTGCGGTCTCCCCGCAGGGACCTCGAGCCCGAGTGGCTGGACAGCGTGCAGCGGAGCGGGGAGCTGTTTTACTTGGAACTGAGCGAGGACGAAGAAGAGAGCCTGCCCGAGCCGCCGGCCGGGAGCCGCGTGAGGTTCAGCGAGCAGGAGGTCGTCATTGGGGAGGACGAGCCCAGGGGGCGCGCGTGTGAGCCCCCACTCCGGCGCTTCACCAGAATTCTGAAGAGCAGAAGGCTTTTGCCCGAGCACCCCAGGAAGAGAGGCAGCCACGGCCCAGGCCCCGTGTCCATCCTCAAGCACCAGCCCCACCCGCGGGCGGGGGTCGTGGTCCAGCAGCCGCTCAAGGACGTCAGTGTGTACGTGAACCCCAGGAAGCTGGCTGTGGCCACGGCCAAGCAGCCGCCCCGGCTGGAGGCCCTGCTGGGCATCGTCCACC